GGTGAGGAAACGCTTTCACTAAGTAGATTTTAAATAGATAGCAATTGTGATATTTGCATTCTCAAAGTCGTTAGTGGAGTTTTGTGTGATTAACCGACACACTAACATGGACTTGTGAGGAATGGCAAAGGTCTACAAAATTGAGACTATGATTACGGCATCCCTTTTCATAGTTCTGAAATTGTTTAGACACACATGTGTGCTATCTAAGGAAAGGTGTATGATTTTGATAAAGTTTTATCAAAGCATCTCGTATCAGAAATCTGAACTTTGGTAAGAAAGTCAATAAAGTATTGATTTCTAGAAGTCCAACTGATTTCTGAGTACATGTCAAAGATAGTGGGAGCATAAGTGTTATGCGAATAATCGTCATGTTAGTGGGATCATGATAATTATGATAAGTGTTGCAAGTTAGCAATGTTAATTATAGAAAAAAAAGTTCAATTGGGAAAAGTTGTTTTGCTATAATTAAGGGAGAGGAAATTATACTTCATTTCAATTCTAAAAGCTTAGATCGAGATTTTAATCAAATTTAGTCAAGTATATATATGAATGTTATGTTGGAATGGTTCAACATAAGGAACTTCTATATATCGGAACACTATTTGCGTTCTAAAATTCGATTATGATTACGGAATCCCTTTTCATAATCTGAATGTTGAGAAGATGGCAAATAGAAATAGAAATATTATAGCAAAAGACTGGTCCAGTATCATGTCTTTATGTGAGACATCATGAATCGTGTCGCATATGCTTCGGATATAGGGTCGATTGCATGTGCTATAATATTCATCCTTTCTAAATTTTTCCAAATGCTCAGGGCATTAAGAGGGGAAAAGTCTAGAATTGGATATGACTAAAATTATTAAGCAATTGTCGAGGACAATCTAAGGTTTACCAAAGATTGGTTGCTCAGGGACAGTTGGAAGTATGGTGTAAATTTTTGAGAGGACCATATTGACATATTCTGAAAAGAGGCAACTCTTATTCAGAAGTGATACTCAAAATGAGAATATGGAAATATTCCCATAGGTGGAAGTCATTCATTAAATCTGTGTAAGATTAGGAAACTTAATGCAAGAAGGATGTTCAAAGCAATGTACTTTGAATTTGAGACTTCGTTTCCATGGAATGATCTCCATTGGAATACTCTGTAATGACTGTTGGCAAGTCTTTGTGACTTTGTGCATAATCATTACAAGAGGATCAGTGCATATAAGTTTAAAATCTAACAAGATTTCGGTAAATGGCAGGAATTTGGAATTCTTGCATTTGCTGTAAGGATTTGGGATTGTGAAATGAGAATCATTGGAATTATGTTCAATCGATCTATTTCACAAAGTAAAAGATCATAGACAAACTTAGTGTGCATACTTGGTGTATGGCATAACTAATGTTTGGACAAACATAGTGTGCATATTTGGTGTATGGCGTGACTATTGTTTGGATATACATAGTGTGCATGCTTGGAGCATGACATGACTATTGTTTTGATTCAAGTATAAAGTTGATAATTTGAAACAGTATGCAATGAATAATGTGTAATCAATATGGTGATAAATAAAATGTGTTCTATTTATATTCATAAGTTCCGAGACCATATTGGCGATTACTCTTGTGTTTCACTTTGCATGTTTTGACTTCCAGAATAACTAGGTCGTTCTTCCTGAATGACTAAGTTATTCAAACCATCCACAGTCGATAATACGTTGGAAGTAGGTATTAAGGCAAGACTGTCATGAAGCTGGTTTGTAGATGTCCAAGATAGTGGACATAGCAAGAGTTGCTACAACATTCATGAGTGCTCATAAGTTCTGAGTATTGTATTAAAGCCACGCTCATTTGAGTCACTTCATGGATTTTATCACGAGTGATCATGAGACGATAATATCTTATATTCTTCAAATCTATAGATATGAGTTGTTGCCTATGAGTTGGTTATACATTGATTGTACGAAAACGCATTGGTAACTCGATGTTATAAAACGTGCCTTTTTGTATGATTCACCAAGTAGTAGACCAAGCATATGAGTCGAAGTTTATCCATTCCTTTTACCCTTAAAAGGATAAAAGTGATATATGTTGGCCCCTCGATGATTTAGTGATGACACCCCGAAGTGCTTGGCCATGCCTGGACTGATTTGATTTGTTCAATTAGTCGGTCGTCATAAATCGGAAATCGGGAAACAACAAATGGACAGAGAGAATTATTTTAATCCATGTCTTAGTCCATATGATATCTAGAATGAAGTAATATATGATCCCTTATCTAATGGATGCGTCATTGATTTGTTCAGTGTTCGACAACGGCTTTAAGAGCTATGATTGCTAGTCGGGTTTTGGAGTCATACGCAATAATAATTTTAGACTTATCCAAGTGGGAGACTGTTGGATTAGTGTCTAAGTCCATAACTATAATTGGTATGTATTTTGACCCGATTTGGCATGGTCCATTTGGGTTGCATGGCATCGGAACAATTGGATAGACAAAATGAGAAAAAAAAAGCATACTAGTGATTTATATTAATATATTATAAGTTCTAATAAATTAATATGAAATCATATTATTTAATTAGTATTGATCAAGAATTAATTTAGAATTAATCTAGTGATCAAAAGGAACTAATTAAATATGGACTCTTATATATGTGGTGGGCCAAGTTCATTTAGGTTGGGCTAAGCTTTCATAGATAGTCCATGGAGTGTTTAACCACTACAAGAAAAAGACCCTTTTACGACGCGCAAACCACGACACTCATTGATTTATGTTACGCAAAAGAGAGTGACATTAAAAAAGTGCCGTCTCTTCAAAAAATTTAAGGATTTATGTCACGCATTTTTGCGTGCCCTTAGATTAGTGTCTCATGTAAAAAAATAAAAACACGGAGGGCACTTTATCTAAAATGTGCGTCCTCTGTGAATGTCGCTTTATGTTTTACTCAAAACGCGCGTTCTTGAAAGGGGAAAATGAAATCCACTCAAAATTTATTAATTTTTTTAATACCCCGCTTCAAGATCCCTTTCATTCTCTTCTTCCTTCTCTCTGCAAACCCTAATCACGATATACACCTCCAACAACTCATAACCCTATTCAACATATGCAACCTATGCCTGATCACGAATGAAGATCTCACCTCGCCTCCCCTTACCGGCAACATCTGGTCCGACGACCTTAGAACTTTCCATAGCTCCTCTCAGCCCTATGTCACTTGTCGTTCTTCTCCTCATATTCCCTGCTCCTCTCTCTGCTTATCTATAATAACCTTCCTTCTCAACCTCCACCTTCACCTCCCCTTTCTTCAACCCAGGCAAGGCTGCCTTCAAAACGTGCGCCTCCGACGTCTCCTTCCAGTCGATTCTGGCGTTGGCGATTGCTGCTGTTTCGCGTGATGGTTGGGGAAGGTTGTTGAGAGCACTGGAAAGGCCCTGGAAAGGGTCCCAGATGTCGAGGTAGAAGGTATCGAATACATTGCTCCTCCTCTTGCTAAATCCCTTTTTCTTCCTGGCTTAATTTTTCTCCATTTGATTTATGATCGAAGGAACAAACTTCCGATTCTTGTTAAATCCCTTTTTCTTCATTTCTTATATAAAATTTGGTTTGGTTCAGGGGATTGGTTATTCAGTTGCTTCATGGCAGCCCTCGTCGAGCTCAAGAGCAATTTGAAACAGTTTTAGAGGAGCAAAGCAGGTTCACTTACAGAATAAGATAGAAATATTTTTGAACACATTTATTGTTTATTTGGATTTGCTAATTTCCTGTATTTCTTTCTTGCATTGCAGATTTGCTCTTGATATTGACCTTGATGCTCCAAAAATCAGAGTTCCTATAAGATTAAGTTCCTCATCAGAGTATAAGATTAAGTATTAATTACTCTTTGGGATATTTTCTGTTCCCTCAATGTGATTTAAAGATAAACACACCTTTTGTTGCAGGAGGACCAGCCTGATGATAAAGGACAATCCTTGTATACCCGTTTTAATATTTCTGGAAGGGATATGCAGAATTAGCCGATCAAAGAAAGGAAAGACATTAAAATATCCATGGAGTTATGGAGAGCAATCCTTGAACATCATTCACATAGCTAGTACGATTTCTAGGGCTCAAAGGTTTGAACTTCTTGATTTTCCTAATTTGTCATCTTCCTCACAGAGTTATGGAGAGCAATCCTTGACATGGCGTTCTTAAGGTTGATTAGGCACATGAAGCCTGATGTGTTTGTTTAGACTATAGTGAATGGATCTTACAGTTCTCTATTTTCTTTGACTCGTTTCCAGGAGTCTCTTTTTCATTTCTCTTTAATATTCGATATGTTTGATGCTACTTTAGATCGTGCAATACCCTCACTTGTGGCAACAACATCTTGATAATTTGGTTCATCTTTTCAGTGTGGGAAGGCTAAAGGTTTCATTTTTTTATAACTTTCTCAACATATTTCCTGAAAAAGTCCAATTTTTAATAGATTCTTTTTTGTTAAATTATCAGGTTGCAATAGACCCTAAAAGCTTTGTGGGTGTACAATTTGTTGCTGATGCAGTTGAATATCCCACCATCCATTGGTAATTTATCCAATCTTTCATGGTTGGATCTAAGTGATAACAAGCTTCAGGGACCCATTCATGTGTCTAATGAAACAGCCCCTGGTATTGACAGGTTAAAGAATGCAAATTTTTGCCGATCAAGGTGGTGATTCTCATTGGATTTACAAGGAGCGAGGTAATTATTGGTCAAATTTTTTATGTTCTTATGTTCTATACTTCTTATTCTCACCTGAAATTCTATGATAGGGGCCATAGTAAGGTCATGTTAGATGCAAAACATTTTCAATACCTCGCTATTTTGATATTCAATCTTCCATTCAAGTAGATGATTCATTGTACTTTCTATGATTTAGGTATTTTATGGACTGAAGCTGAACAGGGAGCATGGAATGAGAAACCATTTAAAGATCCATCAGAACTTGTAATAATGCATGAGGACATTTCACTCTCAAAGGAAAGCAATGAGATTCTACCTAGAGTCGATTTTGGTTCCAGTTGATGATTTTTTCAACAGATATCCGTTTTTTGTTGCTGGGGTTGTTTTCATTTGGCTGTTTGTCATCCCTGCGACTCAAGAATACTTGACAAAGTACAAGGACATATCTACTCTTGATGCTTTGAAAAAGCTTAAGGATGACCCAAATGCCCAGCTGTTAGATATCAGGGATAACAAGACTCTGAGGGTTCTGGGCTCGCCCAATTTGAAGATTTTTAGTAAGAATGTTGTTCAGGTCAAATTTCGTGATGGGGATGACGAGGGTTTTGCAAAGAAAGTGAAAGAGAATTTCGAGGATCCTGCAAATACCACCATTTACATTCTTGACAAGTGAGTTTTTGCATACAAATAGACATTTAAAATCATAGGGTTATTTGGATTGCAGACTATAGCACCACCACTTTACCTTTCTTCACAAACTGCTTGGCAGTTACTAATCCCAATCTTTGTGTTTGTATGTTAAAATTGAAAAACAAATGGCCAAGTTAAATCCTTTGTTATTTGGTTTAAATGTGCAATTCAATTGGATGGACACTCATTGGAACCTAATCTAAATCCATAAGTAACACTAAATATCTTCTAATGATTAGGGTCTTGGTACATATACTTATGTTGTATATGATCCTAATTCAAATTGAAATTGGTCTTCCAACATGGATAGTGAATAAGAAGTTTCATCCCCTCCTTATTAAGTGTTTGTATATATTTTTTCATTTCACTAGAAAATGACTGTGTTGCCCTTGTGTCTTTTATCTTTTGTTTAGCTGAGAAGTTTAATTTGTATATGATTCCTTTGTTTTGTTTGTAAGGCAGTTTTAATGGTAACTCCATGATGGTAGCTGAGTTATTGTTCAACAATGGGTTCAAAGAGGCTTATGCTATTCGAGGTGGAGTTAGAGGCAACAAGTCAGACACCAAAAACAACATTGTACCTCACACACCATACGACCCCACTAGATCTGTACAAGAAATACTACATGGTTCCATACTTGTTACAACCCAAAAGCTTCAGAGTATATATCCATTTGCCAAATCCAAAATCCTCATTGTAAAGTCAACACAACTACTGGATAAGGGCTGCCATTTCCGTATTTACCCTAGTATACGGAAATGCCATTTGCTTATACTGTTTAGCATTAGTGTGATAAATTTGTTTCAAACAAGCTCTTTTTTTATGATAAATTTACACACACCCAACATTTATAACCATTTTTTATACTCTTGAATAATATTTACAGTAGGATGTTGCTGATGAGTATGGAGGTCATGCAGAAGTTAGATCACAATCTTGTGTCAACTATCTTTTAGTAATTTCTCCTTCAAGGTACAGAAAAAGGACATGTACTTTACTTTCATTGTTTTATTGATTTAGCTTAGCCCCTTAACTATTATGTGTAGTATGACTAAATTTAATCCTTGTATATTTTGTTGTGTTGTCTACCATAAAAATATAAACTTTTTTTATGTTGGTAGGTCCATTAGAACTCAGTCTTCAATGTTTGTTAAAGATATTGCTTCTTGTTTTCAGAATGAAGTTGGCATTCCTGCAGTTACAGACAACAAAATCCCTCAACCATTTACTTTAAATGAATCAAGTTTTCTCTCGAAATCTGCCGATATTGCCCCTGATATGAATTCAACCATACAAAAACAGGACAATGCTGTTTCTCAATCAAGCATACCTCCTAAAGATATAGATACACACCAAAAAACTACCAATAACAGTAAGTTTCTTTCCGATACTGCACCTGATATGCCTCTTAGTGTGTCCCCAATGGAGGACCTTTTGTGTTCTGTTGTTCCTTGTAGCTTTTCTTCCGATAATACCCCTCCCCATGTTAATCTCCATAACCCAAAACGTGTCTCACCCCAAAATACTGATAATACCCCTCCCCATGTTACCTTGAGATTTCATTTATTTTCAAATATAAATGACAAGTCTTGATTTAACTATGGATCAATCATGTTACTTTGAGATTTCATTTATTTTCAAATAGCTTTATGTTAACAGTATACTTGGTACAGGTCGCAAAGGCCCGTGATGTTGGGGTCAACAGTATTGTGCTTTTCCCAAAAGTTCCAGATGCATTAAAGGTTGCTATCTATTTTCTTAAATGTGCTAAATGTAATATCTAACAACATCTATTTATTGTTATTAAGGCATTTTTATTCTTTGAAATATTTGAAAAAAATGTTACATGATGATTGTGTTTTGCCTCTTTAGACCCCTACAGGAGATGAAACATATAATGATTCCGGATTAATACCTCGAACAATCAGGTTGCTTAAAGACAAGTACCCTGATCTCACAGGTTCATACTTCTAACATTTATAATTATATTTGTTATGCAACATGAAAGTATTGGTTTGATCAAGTCTATTTCTTATTATATTAAAAGAATTTGTGGTGTACTATAATAGATGACAAGGCTGTTGGACATTCTAGAAATGGTATTCAGTTCAAAGGATAGTACAATCATATATGAAGATATTGATAGAATCATTGCTAAGGGAGAAGAGGGAACTGCAGAACTTGATGCCAAGATGAAAAAATTCACAGAAGATGCAATCAAGTTCAAAATGGACGACAGTATGTACATTTAACTTTTATGCATCTTCATTTTTACTTTCTTTATTGTATTCTAACTTCTAATGGATTACATATGCACCAGCTGATTTGTATGATTTTGATGATGACAAGGTATTCAGCTGTTCTCTTGTCCTATGATTATGTTGTATTACTATGTTGTGTCATGCTCATAACTTCTTGATGACTGTGTGTTTTAATATATGAAGGATGAGAACAAGGTTGACTTTAAGAAGATTGTGAGTGATAACTGGGTGGAGCCTCCACAGGTATCATGTGGAAACAGAAGAAGCATAAAAATAAGAAGTAGAAACAAGAAGGTGTTCCTTAATAGCAATGTAGTATTAGGTTATATAGTTAGAGAAAACCTCTTAATAACAATGTACAATTAGATCCCCTTAATATCAATGTATTACAATTTTTTGACATGATGTTATTAGATGAAATTGATTGTTTTGGTATATATTTGTTTACATATTTTTGTATTATGCGTGAATGAGTATCGTAAAGACGCATCGTAAATGCATATCGTAAATGGTTATTGAAGTTTATGACACGCAAATGCGTGTCATCTTCATTTATGACAGGGGCTTTCTTCATACGCATTGTGTGTCATAAACATGCACGTCGTAAGGTTACGACACGCAAATGCGTGTCATCTTCCTTTATGACAGGGTCTTCCTTGATACGCATTGCGTGTCATAGCCGCGCATCGTAAATGCGTGTCGTAAATGTGCGTCCTAAATGCGCGTCGTAAATAGACGACGCGCAAAAGCGTGTCGTCTCTCGTTATGACAGCGCCTTCCTTGACACGCATTTGCGCGTCGTCTGAGCATTTTACGACACGCATTGTGCGTCGTAAAACACTGTTTTTCTAGTAGTGAACCCATGGATCCTATGGAAATGAAAGGTCATGGGTATTAGGGTTTACATGAATGTAACCCTAATCCTTCACATTATATAAAGAGGGTCCTAGTTCATGAAATGTGCACTAGTGTGTATACACAAGAGGGCAAAAACAGATTTGGTGCATGTATCCTTATTCTCTAGTTATTCCAAGGGTTCTTGGTGTTGTGTGAACCATTTGAGGTGTCACACTTGAGGCACTAGGCTCTTAAGCTCCATGGAATCAAGCTGCAACATCAAAAGGTATGTCATTCTACTAGATTCTTGTAGTATAGCTGCTTCATATTATGCTAGTTAGGATGAAACCTTGGAATATTAAATATTTGCATTTATAATAGAGAAAACATAGATCCAAGGTTTATAGGGTTGCATGTACACCATAGGAGTGTTAGAATGCTCAAAACCCATCATATATATATATATATATATATATATATATATATATATATATATATATATATATATATATATATATATATATACACGGATGATCATTTGAGAACTCATAGTTTAACGAGAACCCGAAAACTAAAAATGGAGCGTTAGATTTGATGAGTTGAAAAACTCTTAGATCGATTAGATCTTCAACAGGTTAAACGATAAAAGCAAACAAACACAATCAACACGATATAGAATCAAGTAATGCTTAATGATTCAAATGTAGTCACGCCTCCGCAGAGCTCGATGAAGAACTTCCACTGTAGAGGCGAGCTAGGGTTTGTAGTACAATAATGAGAATAATAAAAGCACTTTTATTATTCTCATTATTGTACTACAAACCCTAGCTCGCCTCTACAGTGGAAGTTCTTCATCGAGCTCTGCTGAGGCGTGACTACATTTGAATCATTAAGCATTACTTGATTCTTTATCGTGTTGATTATGTTTGTTTGCTTTTATCGTTTAACCTGTTGAAGATCTAATCGATCTAAGAGTTTTTCAATTCATCAATTCGTATCAGAGCAGGAGACTGTATAATTCATACACATCTCTTCTGTTGAAGAAGATCTTAGGGTTTTCCTCTTCGATTGATATTGTTAGAGCCGTCATTTTCTATTGACGTAGTTCTTTAAATATTCGATCTTACTCTAACGTTATTTACAAGTCTGATCTTAAGCAGGTTTTTGAACAAACATCGCCATGTCTATGGATGATTCTCCGTCTAACCCAATCAACATCTCCAACAGCATAGGATCGACGACAAGGATTCCTATATTGTACACTCAAGATTATGAAGTCTGGACTCATCACTTTGAAGATTACGTGATTGGCTCAGAAGACAATGGTTACTTGATCTGGGAGGCGATTACTGTAGCTCCATTCGCACACTCAAAATCTTCAAGAGTTGTTAAAACTCAAAAAGACTACAATCAACTCATCAGTGATGTGAAAGACGTTCCCCAAGATGAGAAGGAGAAGTTTCAGTGCAACATCAAAGCTTTAAGAATGATCAGGTTTGCTTTGCAATCGGACACGTTTCGGTTGGTAAGCTCATGTACGACGGCAAAAGAAATATGGGACAGATTGAAGGAGTTGTATTCCACAAATGAAGATCTCGAGCATTCAATTCAAACATTGTTGCTCTCAGAATTTGGTGACTTCAAGCAGAAGCCAGAAGAGAAGCTTATTCAAACCTTCGTTCGCTTCAATCATCTCCTTAGTAGGATGATAAAGCATGGGATTGAAAGAAAAGTCATTGAACAAAAGGTGACATTCATGAACGACCTTAGACCCGAATGGATGGTTGTGGTGTCTACTGTGAAGGCTCATGAACAATTCAAGAATTATTCTCTAGCGAAACTGGTGGGTATATTAAAATCACATGAGAGTGCCGTGGCTAAAGAAACGAATGTGGTTTCTAGAATGGGTTCCTTGGCCTTAATCTCCAAAGGAAAGAGTGCTGCTGAAGAAGAAGAAGATTTGGATCTCTCAGAATATAATCTAACAAGTGACGAGTATGCTTTGATGGTGTCAAATCCCAAGAAGTTCATCAAAAGGAGGTTCCCAACAAATAAGAACCGAAACTGGCATGGTAGCTACAGTGCCGAGAAAGCAAAGGAGGAACCGAAGAATGTTTCTCAGACTGAAGAACCAAAGAAAGAAGTGAAACTTGGAGGTGAATCAGAGATTAATTGCCACTACTGCGGAGGCAAAAATCACTTCGCCAGAGATTGTATGTTGAGAAAGATGTCGGAAAAGAATGAAGATGAGGACGAGGAAGCGAACCTCACACGACGATTGGAAGAAATCAAGAAGAAGAAAGCTGGATCTAACAACACTATGAAGGCTCTTATTGTACAGGGTAATATTGTTGATGATGAGTTCGGTGGTGTTGAAGTTTGGTCCACTGATTCAGAAGATGAAGAAGTGAGGAAGCCTACTCATGGCAGGGCTTTGTTGGTGAAGGAAGAGGTTGTTGCAGGAAAGTGTTTGATGGTGACTTCTGGGGTGTCACAAAAGCGAGGCTATGCCACTGATGGAGAAGGAGCGTGAAGACAGGTGTTTTGCAGCGAAACCTGTCAGTGAGCAGATCAACAAATGCGATGAGTTGATCAAGAAGGTACAATCTATTCTCGTTTCCTTACAAATTCCCATCTCAAACTATGAAAAAGAACTAAATGGATTAAAATCTAAATTTTCTAGTCTAAGTGGTCATTTAACTCAAACTCGCGTCACAAACTCTAACCTAACTGATCAAATCAGCAGGGTATCATCAAAGAGTGATGAGAGGCGTATGTGGATTGAGCAGAAGGAGAAGGAGTTGATTAGGTCTAGGGATGAAACAATTTATTTGCAAAGAGATAATTTGAAGCTTTTGAAACAACGAAATGTTTTTTGTTGTATTGCTAAACGATTATATACCAACATTACTCAATTGCATCTCGATTGTGAAATAGGAAAGAAGATACATCGTATGATTTTACCCTTCCTTGAGTTAAAGGAGGATGAAATCGATGCCGATGCTTATGACTGTGAAAACGTTGTTTCTTCTGATGATATTTCTCCCGCTTACAAAATTGGTCTTGACAAAATTGAGTCCTTCATTAAGTCAAAAGACCATACGGACATGCTCAAAACTTTATTGGATGAAAATGACAAATTAAGGATCAAAACCGAAACTGTACAGAAATTTGACTCCTTGAATGCCAAATTGAGTTCAGAAAATAAAATTGATATTGAAACCACTTCTGAATTCAATGAGGATGATGATTTGAGCGAAATTTCTGTGGAAGATGAGGTGGATTGTTCCGAATTTGTCAAGAGCAAACCCGAAACCAATAAAAATCTTATTTCTGAAAATTCTGTTGAGTTCGCTCGTTTGTCCAAAGACAAAACCAAAGTCCTTAAGGAAAAGGCTGTTGTATATCAAAAAGTATAAACGACTCCAAATCAAGTTTATGCAGTTCATGGAGTGACTCAACAACAGACAGCTGAACTGACAACATTAGTGGCAGAAGATAATGCTGATGGCTGTGATGAGTTTTTCTGGTCAGCACCGATTGATAACGCTGATGAAACAGTCGGTTTATCCACAAAAACTTCATGGAGAGTAAAAGGAAGGTATGTGGCTGAACCACTTAATGATCCTGCAAGCTTTGATGTGCCCAGCATAAGTGGTACCAAAACTCCTTCAGGCGAACCAATCATGATGTCAAGCGAATCCTCTTCGCTAAAAAGTGAAACTCCTGGTCAGGAACCGAAGAAAAAGGCCAACATCCACAAAAATCCAAAACAGGTGTTAGAACGAAAGCATCAACGAAATATGAGATACAAGAAGAATCTTACTGAAAGGAAACAGTTTTGGCGTTCTCAAAACCCTAATTACATTCCTATGAAAAACCCTCGAAGTTAAAAGGAAGAAGTAAAAGCAAACTCAGCCTCTTGTGCTCAACATAATGAAAACAACCGAAAGAAGAGTTTTGATTCCCAGACTCAAAACAACCGAAAGCCTAACGTAAAGTTTTTGCACGTGTTCGGTTCACGATGCTTCATCTTCAATTCAAAGGAGCACCGCAACAAGTTTGATGTCAAAGGAGACGAAGGAATCTTTCTAGGTTATTCCTTAACCTCCAAAGCATATCGGGTTCTCAACAAGCGTTCAAAGAAAATAGAG